CACAATTATGTTTGCAAAAGACAGATAATGGTATCACCAAAGCCAGAGGTAGTGATCTCAGTCAGCATCATCTGGAGCCCCTCTATAAATCTGCCAGACTAGGCCACAACAGGATTTAGCAAAGCGCTATACATAGCAAAGCATGAGGCAACGGTCATGCAATGTTGAAATCATGGCCCCAACTCACACCATCTGAATTCCAGTTTGGAGAGGGATTGTTAAAACACTGACGTTATTATTTGTTTTAGTGAAAGTGGAAATAATATGACATGGATCACAAATACATTGAACAAAACTTCAAAGAAAAGCTTCAAGTGGAAGGATGGATTTATTTCCATTGGTCCTATTTTCACGATCACAAATTAAGGTCTTGTCCAGAATTTTACATTTCCCTGTATCTTGATATGTATGGTTCAGCATTAGGAAATCCCTTTCCAACCATCAGCAGTTGAATAACATGCTCAAAGAGGATACACTGTCAAATAGAGTCACACGACAGAGTCACACGACAGAGTCTCCCAGCCTCTGTAGTGTCTCCACACCCTGTTGTGCTTTGATCTCTCTGTACACACCCCGACAAGAATATCCAGACCATGCTGAGGCAACTGTGTTCCAGCCCCTTCACAGAGGACTAGCAACCGGTCACTCACAAGGCTCTGCAGACCATACACGTCTATCACTACAGTGTGTATGTGTGTGTACGTGTGTGTGAAGGGGGAGCTGTATAGGAATCGCTCATGGAATCCATTCTGAAATGCTTTACTTTACTGACTTTTTCAGGGGGTTAAATATCCCTTTTTTTTAAAAGAATATATTACATGTACGTTGTCAGAATTTCTCTCTTATTTTGAAATTTAATTCTTCAGTTAATCTTGGTCGTTAAGTTGAGTCAGTATATCACCTCCCTGGCAAGAAAAGTGGAAAGTGTCTGAGTTATAGAAGACCATGATGGATGGATGGAACAAAAACATTTAAATAGCCGATCAGAAGACACATAGGCATGTGTAACATGACAAGCCTATGTGGTAACTTGAGAGAAAATTCAGATTGATACCTTTGAAGTTGATTTGAACACACTCAGGAAGCTGTAATTCATAGTAGTAGGCCTACTTGTGCCAGTTGCTATCAGTTCAAAAAAGATTTGGCGGCTTTGCAGTTTGTTTACCAGGCAAAAAGAAGTTCAAGGTGAAAATAAAACATTCTTAAAGGAGAGTCTGATTACAAAAAATAGATTATTTTTGTTCTCATGATTCTCTTACAAGGTAATTAATATTTTTACTTAATTATGATTTGTTTGATGAGAAACAAAAATGTCAACTGGGTATTTTTTTTACCCCTTTGTACAAATCATACCCATTATATAAAAGTACAAAAAGACTAATTAAAGTGTTAATCACAGATGTGTGTGTGTGTGTGTGTGAGAGAGAGAAAGAGTGTGTACGTTCATGCTTGTGTAAAGATAAGAGCTCTTTGGCAGTCAGTGGGATCTGCCTATATAAGGCTGTTCTATTCCTACTGCTTTTCCTTTGGGGATCCAGTGCAATTGTCAATCACTGGACAATGCATGCCAGAGAGCTTCGTAGGTTTCACCATCTTATGTTATATTGTAATATAAGTAAGTACTTGGAATGGAAGAAAGGTGCCAATTTGTGCTGTTTTTGTAAGGTTTTGCTTATAACTCTGCATCAACAAGTCCTCTGGTAAACAGAGGTCATTGTAACTCCAGACTTTTATGTTTGGAAAGTAACCTCGTGTGACTGGATGACTGAAAGAATGTACTGCTCGTATTAATGGACCTAAAAGTGAGGGCGTCATTTTTCTGATTGACAGGCTCATATGATTCTTTACTACAGTCTGTACACAGAGCTTCTGACCACACAAGTGGTCTCTCTCTTCTCTGAGCACATGTATTCTATTGGAAACAGACTAGAAAAAGCCCTTCACCCTGTTTTTTTTTTTAATCCTCTCCTCCTTTTCGGGGAACTATCAAACCTGGGATGACCTTGTGGATTTTCTTCTTCAGAAGGATTTCTCTTGTTTCTGCTCAGACCTTTCTCTACATGGCTTTTTTTTTTTTTTTTTGTATTTTATAAAAGGATCCAAAGGCAAGTTTTGGAAAGTGTGATGTGCTCTTGTGCCTATTTGCAGGCCAACTATAAATAGTCCAGCAGCCTACGCATGCTCATGTTTGATTGGAAATTGCAGTGCCTTAAGTCAGTGCTGTGGGGTATCTGTCAAAGGAGGGAAAGAAACTTGTGAATGGTGAGTTAACTGTGTAAAACAGACTGCTGTTTATGTAAATAATGAATAGGACAGAGGTGTCTTTTTACAAAGCATCTCCTACTGACATTTGTGTTTTTAATCTCAAACTATAGGTAAACACAAATTGTCTTTTTTTTAAATCTTTAATTTGAATACAAGTTCTTGTAATATAACTTTCTATTGTTCTATCCGTGTTCAAGTTATCATTGTTCATGTTTTTTACTTCCTCTATAGCTCTTATAAATCTCTCTGGGAAGACAAAAAAGAAGTGACAACACAAACTTTTTTCCTCCTGAAGAACTTTTTTTCCCCTTTGAATATTCCTCTTTCTGGTGGAAAATGGGTTCACGGAGGACAATGACACGCTCCTCTTCTGGCAATGGAAGATCCAGCAACGGGGATGATTTCAATGGGAGTAGCCGGCCTAGTGGCTGCAGCTACCTCTCTAACGTGAGGCCAGAAAACAGGTGAGGATTCAACACTAACACAGTGAGCTGTGCTACAACTCTGTGTTAGTTCAACAAGTGTTCTAAAATACATCAATACTTTTCCTAACCTGGGGTGTACGTGTGTGATGTGTTATTTCTTTGTTTGTTGCCATGGGCACCAGAGTTTAAATAAACTGCTGATTAAGAACAGCATCTCAGTTATGCAGCATGGGCCCCATTTCACATCAAGCAATACACAAACAACAGCTTCTGCGTGGAAAGATTGACCATGGAACAACGGGTGTTGACCTTTTGGACCAACTCTTTAATGATAACTCTGTTGATAGACTATGAAGATTCGTTTGAGATAATAATAAATACATTTTTTTCTTCTTTCTTCTTCTTTCCAGAGGCACAGGGCAGCCTTTACAGCAACATTACCAAAGCAACTATGATACAGAAATAGTTTAATAGTGCCCTGATGCCCACTTTTTTTCTCTTTGTTTTGTTTTTTTCGGGATGCCTTACCTCTCATGTTATTTGATATGCAGCATTATTGGTTTCTAGACTTTTGATTCCCTCTCATCCTTTGTGGGCCTTAACAACACAATTGCTTGTGTGTTATCACTGCTAAATGATTGTTTTGCGGCAATGGACATGGGTATTGCTTCAAGCAGGATTTGCAAAAGTGAAAACCTTTTTTAGCTCAAAACTTCTTCTCTTCCACTCATCATAGCTAAATTATCATAGTATTTCTATTGTATTTGCGAAAGGTCAATACTGAATGCCAAGATGAACAGCAGTACGTACTGAAAGTCACATAGCATGCACACTATATTATTTAAGTGTGACTTTCTTTAGTATTAGTGTCTGGTTTAGTTTGCCTAATCATGAGTAACATGCAGTGAAGTGTAACAGTATCCTTTAACTGTGCACTGAACTAACACTGAAATGGATGTCAACACCAGACATTGATCAACTGCAGTAATTCTCACTATATGCATGCCCACCTCCATTTCTGTTATTATACAGTATGTTTGTGATGTTTCTTCCACATTTTCACATGCTATAATGGTTCAATATCCTTGAAACATTATATTTATGGTGATGTGTTTCATTTTTATAATTAATGTCATATGGACTAATTAGATTTCTCTAAGGACATGCCAAATAACTACTATTCATACTGAACTGCAGAGGTCAAAGATTACAAGAAACACTCCTCTTTTGTTTCTTTTTTATGTGGTCTGTGAAAATAAAACTGTGTAAGATGTGCCTCCAAGAACTTCTCAACACTCAGTAAGGACAAATCATAGTTTAGTTTTAGTTTGTGTTATTAATGTGATGGAAGGCATACATTCCAGCTTGACTTTGATAACTAAATCAGTACACGTTTGGAGAAATTAAACATAATATAATGAGAGATTGTAGTTGGTGAGGTTTTTTTTTTTCAAGTAATTCTCAATCATAACTAGCTCCACCCAGGCTCCAACCTACATTTGGATTGTCTCGTGCCAGCTAAACTTGTGGAGAGCTGGCTCAAAACGTTTGTTTACATAATTTTTATGAAATCCTGGGTGACATCACTTCGTCTTTGTTTAATCAGAAATTGTCTCCAAGCTGCATTAAATGAACTTCAGCATTTTAAATGTAAAAAAAAAAAAAAGCCATCTAGAGGCATGGGTCAAGGTCTTTAGATAAATAAAGCCGGACAATACATTTTCTGGTAACGCTTTAGATTACAGCCTGCATCATACAGCGTAATTACTTCAGGGTTACAGTGTAATCTTTTGTACTAAAGGTGTAACAATACAGTACGTATACCAATACATATATGTAGATACTGGGTAACAAGATGTGAAGTTACGGAAGAAGGGGCTAATAATTCAGGATTACACCATTAGTACACCATAATTATAAAGGGGCAATGTAGTTTTCTTGTTTGTTGGTAATAAGGTAATTTAAATAAAACCACATCAGATTTATTGATTTATATAATGCAGTCATCACTACATCTTCACTGACAGGTCCAGATTATTGCTCAGTAGGTCATACATAGCCTGTAGTAACAGAATATGTACCCAGCAGTTAAAAAATAACTAGTATAAATTATCTGTATAATTTAGGACTACCCCCTAATTCCATAACTTCTCATTTACCAGTATCTACATATATGTACTGGTACGTACTGTATTGTTACACCACTAGTACAAAAGATTACACCGTAACTCAAAAGTAATTATGCTGTACGTTGCGGACGGTAATCTAAAGCTTAAAGTTACCCTTTTTCTCTTAAGTCAGAAAACTGACCATTTATACTAAACAATAATCCAGTATGTATGGTTTGTAAATAACTTTACAACTTGACTGAACAGCTCCCCTTTGTTGCACAGGAGCACCCTATGCAGCATGATGGCACAGTTAACTGAGGAAACGCAGCCCTCCTTTGAAACAACCCTGAAGTCAAGAGCTGTGTCCGAGAATTGCAATGTGAAGTTCTCTTGTGTGGTTACAGGTAAACATTGTTTCACAGGTGAACACGATATAATAAATATCACACAGTGTACTTGATGAAAAAATGTTGGAGTAGAGAAAGAAATAGAATATAGAAATGTAACAATTTAAAGAAAGTGAATGCACAAAATAATGTACTACATCTGAGAAAAGGCTCAATATGCACCTGGTTTCATGCATCTTGAGCATCTTAAATATATTCAGGTACTCTACAAGGCAAGCGTAATGCATCCAGTTTTCTCTAGCTACACTGCAGTGAAGCAATTGTAAACTAAATTGTTGGCTTTTCTAGTCCATACAGAAATTGTTTGATGTCCAGATCTTTTTCTTTTGTGGCAGGACACCCTTCTCCTCAAGTTATTTGGTATAAGGATGATGTGCAGTTAGACAGATACTGTGGACTGCCCAAATATGAGATATTCCGCAATGGACAAAACCATTCCCTGCACATTTACAAGTATGTATGTTTGGAAACCACTGATATGACATCTGACCGCACTTGTTCTACCAAGATACTACCAAGCTCAAGATAGTCTGTTAAGACTTGTTATGAAGTAATCGAAATTACTAAACAGAAAAGGACACTGTGATGGAGGCAATAAAACCATAGTGTATTATTTCAATTTTTATGCGATAAAGTAGTCTAAAATACTAAGAGAGTGCCTCGACATTCTTTCCCACATTAAGTAAACCCATTAAAAAAGAGCTTATCCTCTAAACACAGTTTCTAGCAACACAGTGTTTTTTCCAGAAATGTTTACTTCTGTTTTTGTCAAGAATCAATTTTCTTGATAATTTCAATTAAGGCAACTTAAATTGACTTCTCTTTGCAGTTGCAGCGTGGAGGATGCAGCTATATACCAGGCTTCAGCCAGCAACAATAAAGGTATTGTGTCCTGTTCTGGGGTTTTGGAGGTGGGCGAAATGAATGAGTTCAAGATCCACCAGCGCTACTTTGCCAAGCTGAAACAAAAGGCTGAAAACCGACGCAGGGAAGCGGAAGGTAAGGAAAACCAGGAGCCCCTACGAACCATCAGTCCAGACCGCACTCAAAGGAAACGGCGCTCCACGATGGAGGCCTTTCTCAGCATGCCAAGCTCTATGGAGGATGAGGGCAGCGAGGAGAACCATCAGGCTGTACCTGCAGAGACTGAGGCCAGGTTGCAGGAGGCAACTATGGAAGAGGTGGAAGAAAAGCCAGTCCCCATCCCTAATGGAGCAATCTATACTGTAACTAATGGACAGGCCATCATTGAAAACGGTAACAAGAGTGGGACATATATATATGATTCTGCCCAGAAGATTTTTACTGCACACCAACCCAAAACTCCCTTTGTCAAAAAGAAGATTAAAATTTCCAACAATGCAAAAGTTGCAAAATCAGACATGCCGGGAGAGCGGGCATCTGAGGAGAGAAAGACAAAAGATGAGACCTCAGCCTCTATAGCTCTGGTCTGCACAGAGCCAGTGCCCTCTGAGGGGAATTCAGAAGAGGTTATGGAAGTAGAGAACATTATTGGTTCGTCAGTTGTGGATTCAGACTCCAGAAATGTGACAGAACAACATCAAAGATCAGAAACAGAGGAAGCATTGATTGTTGAAAGGCCTTCAAAGGGTGAAAACACAAGCCCTGAGGTAACTGTGCCTTCACAGAAACAACAGCTCACTGCCTTGGTACCCCCCGCTGCTCTTACATCTACAAGTTATATTGTGTCAGGAACTGAAGGCCAACAAGCTGCAAAGCATGAGAAGGAAACTGGTTGCAAAGATACAGGAGATAATTTGAAAATGCAGAACCAAAGTCCTAACATTACCTCAACACGACTACAGACAAGTGCAGCAGCAGCACATCCACAACCCCTCAGCAGAGCAAAGAAGGACATTTCTAAAACAGAAGATGTTACAGTCATGTGTGTTGAAGAAAAGTCAAACACTAACACTAGTGGATCTTTAACACACAGAGAGTCAGTGAACGCTCCGTGTGAAAGCAGCACTGCTTTATCTCAGAGTTCGTGTGAACAGACCGGAGATCAGCTGTCTGAGAAGGAAACAAGCCTCTGCCAAAAAAATGTGTCTGTGTCTCTGCCAGCGCTGCCGAGGGAGGTGAGTGAGCCTTTTTGCATGAGCTCATGAGTTCTTTGTGCTGCCAACGCAGGCCTCATCAGTAACACAAGCAACCTGGAGCTATTTATATCTTTTACAAGTATGCCCCGCTGTGTGACAAGAATTAAATGAAGCACATGTTGACAGACGCAGCAGGTATACTAATGCAGTGCATTTGATATTGTAAGTTCAAAGATCCGAGAGTTGGCCATTGCGAAAAATTTTAAATTATACTTTGGCACTCTGTAATAATAGCTCATGGATAAAGGGGATTTCCTCCGAACACAAAGACTGTAAACAGAGGGAAAATGTTTTTGTTTTTACTTTACTGTATGGATTAATCAAATTAGATATAACAACTGTCAACTGACAGAAATGCTAGCTGTTTCCTCAAGTCTTTATACTCGGCTAAGCTCACAGCTGCTGAATATAGCCTTAGAGCAGATATGTATGCTGTTGCAAACAATAAAATTTCAGCTGACCTTAAATCGAAAGACATGAGAGTAATATTGATCTTTTCATCTAACTCTCTGCCAGAGTAAAATTGTGTAGTTGTCCAATGTTGTCCAATACTTTCAAAAGTGAAAGTAAATGGAGGGTGTTGAGATGGTGACCTTATTGGTGATGTTAAGTTAGTTAAATGCATATACCTAACTTAAATACATTATATTGTGAAATAACATAATGTAAGACATTGTTAGCTTGTTTTCAAATAAGACAGTTATTTTGCTATTTGGATTGTGAATCTTTATTGTCCACTGCTTATGCAATCACGTTGAGTCCAGCTGCATGGCTGAACACTGACGGCACTGAGAGCTGAGACGAAACACTGCACAGCTGAAGCACCTCTTAAAATGATTTGGATTCCTTTCTGGCCACACTTAAACATAAAATAGCCACCTTACATGTGAAAAGGCCTCACAATGTCAGAAGTGGATAAAGGGAATATATATTGTGATAACTTTGACTGGATACTGTATAATTATTAACTATTAATAGTTAAGTACTTTAAAGTCAGTTTTGCAGTTCCTTTTTGAAAGGATATAGAGGCAGAATATAGACAAAGAGAATGACCCCTGGGCTATATTATGGCTTATCTCATTCATGATGGAATGACACATGACACAGGAAACCTCTCATGCTAATTTTAAAAGGCATTCAGCTCAATAGCAGATTTGACACTCAAAAACATGCTTGTATGGCAGATATTGACCAGAGCAGTGTGCCATGCTTATGTTTCACTATAACACAGACCAGATATATTACACGACCATGCAGTTCTTAAGTGTTATGGCAAAAAGTAGAGCCTGAAACATGGATATTACATTTTTTTCTCTGGTTTATTTTTTTTAATTTTCCATTCCGTTCTCTGTTTGTTGCTGGTTACGCAGTTGCTGTTTTTAAAATTACATGTGTTTATTCATGTCCAGCATAGCCAGGGATAAAGGAATAAGTATTTACAGCATGGAAACCTCTGCTTGTATTATGTCCCAAGGTTACACAGGCCCATACAAAGATGAACAGGAATGATGCACCTGTCAACCTTGAGCTTCCACTCAAAGAGTGTTCGATGGACTCACAACCAGTACAAAAGACTACATCAGAGAGAGAGACCACAACAGATGACATCAAGACCCCTTCTTTGAACCATGGTCTTCAGGCAGCCATTGACAAAATGACACAGGACACATGGGATCATTCCAGGGGATCAAGTGAAAGCCATATGGCCCTTTTTACAGACCTACAGAAGTCACCCCTCCAAAGCCCTGGTGGTGGTGAGAACACCCGAGGGTGTAACGTTTCGCACAGCATCCAGCAAAGCCAAGTTGATACAGCTATTAAAACTGTTGAAGGGACAGAAATACAAGTTGATGAAAAAGTAGAAGGTAACGAGGTAGGTAAGTTAATAGAGCAGTCTAACAGTGTGGCCCCAAATGAGAAGATAGTTGAGATGGAGACTGAAAGTGCTGCGCTACATAGTAATGAAAACACTGAAACAGAAAAGACCAAAGATGCAACACATAAAGACACTGATGTTATCATTGTGGATGCCTCTAAAAAAGAAATGGCAGAGGAAACTTGTTCAGATTTAAACAATCTGAAATCAGATATATCTGAGCCTGCAATCCCACTCCTAACAAAAACTCCAATAAACACAAACTTATCCCAACTTCAAGATTTCCAAGAAATTCAAAAACCAGAGACAAAAATCATATCTATAGCTGAGCTTTTGAGATCACAAATAAAGGCTCTTGACTCAACATTAGCAAATTCAGCGAACACCATTCCAAACCATGCTGACTTTGTACATGGTCCATCTACAACTTCTACAGAAACATGTGAGGAGTTAAAAGATAATGACAGCAACTGTAAACCGGAAGCTAAGATGTCAACGTCTGACAGGAAAACTGAGATGAGTAATGACGACACTCCTCCCAAAAACTTAAAGGAAACCCTTATGGAGGTTTATCATCAACTCAATAAAACTGGTCAGGAACAAATTCAGACACAAGCTGCATCTTCACCACCTGTCCAGGCTTTAGAAAAACCTCTTGTAATCCCACCTATCTCTGTTGTAGGCACTGTCAGTCCAGAACCTGGGACTCCACTCACAGTGACACCTATAAAGGCCAGTGGTCAAGAGTCAAATATTGTTTTGGCGCATGCCAAAGATGAACCTGCTCAGGACAAAGACAGAGCATTTATACAAAAGTTAAGTCCAGAAATTAAACTCAACAGTAAAACTGAACAAGGGAATACTGAAACACGACTAGATAAATTCAAAGTGGAAGAACACACCACAGGAAACAGTTCTTTGCAGAGTGTACATAGGTTTCCCACTAAAAGTGTACTTGGCACAGATACACAAGAAAATAATCTTCAACTTATTCAGCAGGACAGCTCTATGATTAAGGAATTTTCAAGAAGTGACTCCTTAGCCAGTCCAACTCCTGAGGCTAGTCCATTGTTAAAGAAAAGAAATTGTGTTTCTCCCATTCCTTCTGCTACTGCACAAGAGCTGGCCTCTGGGGCCAGACGCAAAATCCTAATACCCAAGGCCAAACGTGAAGAGGCCTCAGAGGCCACATCATCATTTGATAACCAAACCCAGAAAAATGAGCTTTCTACACTGAACAGCAAGCTTTCCACAAGTCCCGTGGGCCTCTCTATGTCTCCAGGTCTGTCACGACGGTCATCTCTACTGCAGCCCGCTGGTGAGCAAACCTCTTCTGCAGAAAGACCTTCTCCGCTTGTGAGCAGAAGGAAGATGGCATCTGAGACTCAAGCACCAAGCCAGCAGCCCACTGAGGAGATCCACACCCCAAAAACTGAAAGCAAACCTGCAGAGAAGGATAAGCACGACCCATTCAAAGGTAAAATGGCCTTCATATCGGATCAGCATTTTTAAATGTTGCTTGAAGACGCACTGCTTTAATAGCATATGAAAACTTTTTCTGCTTTGTCATCCCCATTGGTAGTATCAAAAAAAATACTGTGGCAGACAGCTGCCAGAGTTGCCGGAGGGACATGATTCAAAAGCTCCTTAGAATATAACCAAAACCAAAGAAAAACCAAAATGCCCCGCTGCCTTTATGTTTTTGCTGTTTGTAAAGCCAGTGGTGTGTATTGTGCAATCCATAGTATCCAGTTGGACAAACTTTGTAATTGTTTCTAAATTTCTGTACTGCAAAGTCTTCTTACTTAAGCCTATATAAACACCAATATGTAAGCTACTATCAGCTGTTATATATCAGCTTGGCTGATTTATAGTTCTAGTTTGACATATTTAACTGTCCAGCCTGCACCAGCAATCAGGCTGATTGTGGTGCAGCTTTTGGTCTCAGACCCACCTTAGTGTCTGTGTTTGGTTATTCACAGACTCATCCATTCTATACCACATTAAACTGAGTTTAAAATACTGAATGTGCAACAACAAAATAGACTAGAGGATCAAAAAGAAAAGCTGCATTTCACTTGCCATGTGTAAAATGCACCCCAGGCTGGTGGACTAACGTGTTCAAACGTTTTAATTTTATAATTACACTATATTTTTATGTTGTTTGAGCTCACCTGACGTGATGAATACTGTGTAGTCATTAACACTGAAATATCCAGTACTAAAAATGTCAACATTCATACTAAAATGACTGATGATAGTGTATTGTTGATTGATTATTGTCCCAGTATACTATTTATACAATCCCACTATACTATGGAATATGGGAAGTATATATGGCATATACAGTATCAGACTGGATTCATTAAGGTTGCTTCATAATTAGGATATAGAAGAGTGTGGATCTTTACCATGTTCTCTGTGTTGTGTCTCTTTCCATACAGCCCCACAAGTTATTCGTAAGATCAGGGGTGAAACCTTTGCAGATGCCTCAGGACACCTGAAATTGTGGTGCCAGTTTTTCAACGTTCTTAGTGAATCTACAATCAAATGGTACAGAAATGAAGAGAAGATTGCTCAGATTGAAAGAAAGTAAGTGTCCAGAGTAACTCTAAGTCTGCTATTGAAATAGCCTTCCAATTACCCGCCTAACATAATAGTGATGACTTATAATAGTGGGTTGTAAAAACCCACATGTTTTCTGACGCTTTGTGGGTCACTTGTTATTTGTTTGTTTCTCAGTGCAGGCGATGAAACTCAGGTCAATCTTGCCATTGTTCAGGCATCATGCAAAGACTCTGGGGTTTACCAATGCACAATCACAAATGAATATGGGACAGACTCAACAGACTATCTTCTTAGTGCAGATAGTATGTACTTATTAAACTTACATTTGGCATAAAATAAATACATTTCCATGAATTACTGGCCCACAACCAGTCTAATTCTGTCTTCTCTCCCACTTTGTTACAGTCTTGGCTGGAATGGCCCTACGTGAGGACCTTGGTGGTAAGATGAGATTTTACATGTTTAGATCACTTTTTTTTTTTTACAGCATCTGAGCCCAAATGTTTTTCTGACCACCATTCTCACATTTTTCTGTATGCAGTTGGAGAAGAAATTGAAATGACACCCATGATATTCAACAAGGGTGTCGCTGATTCTGGCATCTGGGGTAATAAATTATTTGGCCGTATAATGATGCAGGAATTTCATATTGGTGTTGGCTGCTCACATAAGGTCTGGAGGGCAAAAGTCATCTATGGTCTGGAGCCTTTGTTTGAGTCTGGAAATACATGTATCATCAAAGCATGCAACCCCGTCGCCTATGGAGGCAAAGGAGAAAGCTGCCTCGTAGACAGGAACCTGGACATTGTCAAGCAGGTTTGTAAGAAAGGTTTGGTTTTGTAATTTATTCTTAAATTTAAATATTCATTCAATAAACTAACAAATTCAGCATTAAAAATAATCAGTCGGGTGTCATTCCTGCCACCCACATAGGATTACTGTAAAACTAATCAAATTGAGATTGAATACACATACTAGTGTAGGTTGAGCTTATCTTTACTGGCTATTCTCCAATGTGCTGAATATAGGAGTGTAAAATTCAGAACTTGGCCCGTGAATACTGCAAAATCTTCAGTACAGAGGCAAGACTGATTGAAAACTTTGGCCCCTGTATCGAGTGAGTACAATCAGATTACTCTTCATCAAAAGTTCTAATGAGTATTATACACAATGTGTGGACCATTAAACATTAAAAAGGTCACTGACATTATGCCGATCTTTGTTACACAGGGTGATTCCAGTCTACTTAATGTACCGACCTGCAAACACTGTCCCTTATGCCAAAGTGGAGGCCGATCTAACAGGAATCTATCAGAAATACTGTACCCTGGATCACACAGGCAGGATAGATACAAGGACAGGCTCTGAGGTGGAGCAGAAGTGCTGTGCCCTGCAGCACTGGATCTTTCAGTGGACCAATGGCAATCTGCTACTCACTCGGCTAGAAGGTAAGCTCACACTTAAATACAACAGAGTGATGGGAAATTTACATTTTTCCTTTGGAAAGTTTGAGTTAAAATCAGTAGTATATTAAAGGGGCTCAAAAGTTGAGGTACTACACCCCTTTCCACAGCTAATGAGGAGAAATATTGCTTGCAATAAGGAAAAGTGTGAGAGCAAAAATGATTTTGTGCTGAGCTACTTAAAATTGAACCTTCTCAACCCTTATCTTAAAGTTAAATGTGTACTTTAAACACCTTCAGGTCCATTACACACCATTAGTTACACAGCATTAAACATTGAACTGATTTTAAGCATGTTTAGCTCTAGGAACTCCATTCCCAATTTGATTTTTTAAAATTTCCAATACTTTTTTGTACTGGAGTTAATGTGGTTCCCACTGCATGTCTGTCACATTTGAATATATTACCTAAAACAACAGAAAAATAAAGTAAATGCGTGATGTTATTTTGCAGGTGTTGACACAAAGATCACCAATGTGGGAATTTCAGTCAAATCAACAGGGTCAGTATATTGTATTGTGTTGTTTCTGTAAATTATACTGTGAAAACCTAATTTTACCGGTAATTTACATTTATACAGATCACGACTGTAACGTTTGATTTTGTTGTGTTTTGCATCTGTTGCTGCAGGCAACAAGGTTTATCTGTTGAAGGGAATCCCAAAGTTTTTGAGCAGTTTGTCTCCCAGCACCAGTGTAACTACTTCTGTGGTCTGCTCAGCCTGAGGTCTCTAAAGGTCATGGACTCTTTATTGACACCAACGAAGCCCAAGGGCTCCAAGAGCCCGTTACTTCAACGCAAAATGGCTGCCGGCTCCTCCAGTCCTCAGACCGTCCGGAAAGCTGCTGGCAGCCCCAGACTGCCCAGGAAGACTGAGCAAGAGGGCGGAAAGACCCCCTCTAAACAAAAAGCTGTTGATGCTCCCAAAGTTGTTAAGATGGAATAGAATAATTATCTCTCAATAAGACATGACAGATCACAGATTTTCTCAATGGAAAAGCATCCTGATTAAATTCCATTGATTATCTGAAAAGGTTTCACTATCAGCAAAACAATGCACGAGGAGATGGAAGAAAGAAAGAAGGCCAATGACACCTCTGTTTTTAAGAGAGGTAGAAACCCTTCAACACTTCAAATAATATGACTTAACTATTTAATTTTGACAGCCACCATTCCTTGCCAGTAGCACTTATTGTGGATTGATGCCCTCACAGGTTGTGGTGATTAACTATTATAGCCTACACTCAGCAAATCAAAGGCTTGAAACTACAGTGTAGTAGTGAGTAGTAGCTTTCCTGGGTTTGTATTCTATCAATCCATATACCATAGTAGGTAACAGATTGTGAATTCCAATCTCAGGTCAGTGTATTTGTACTAAATGAATGTGCAAGATAAAACATTTTGAACTCAACTGGCATTATATGTAGTCTATGTGTAATATTCAATGTAAAAGCACAAACATGTATCTTTTGTAGTCACGTCTGTGAGAATGTAGGGGAGTTATTATGTCAGTTGAACCAAAACCATGACATGGATATGCAATAAGCCCCATGGTCATACAGCACGTTTTTAAGGCTGGAAGTAAACTTTTTTTTGTCAGGAATGTATCTAGCCAACTGTAGCTTCACATAACACTGTTGTACAGTGGCCAATGGTGCTGTGCTTTTATATTGTAACCTGTCATGTTTACTTGCTATTCTACATTGCACTGGATTTTGAGAAACTGCACCTTTGAATGCTGCAAAATAAAAAATTACGCCTTGTACGTTTGGAGACACTGTGAAAGTGCATGACATGTGCTTTTAGAACTCTGAGTTTCATTTTAAATAGAAATTAGCATATTACGGAGTTGGCTGAATCACTGTAATGAAAGCCACCCCACTCAGTCTGACATCAGCAGTCACTCATTATCATATATATCGTTTAGAAAAATAAGTAACCCAGTGTTATCTCAGTGATTCCTATTACCTGTGAGGACTTTCTGTCATCACGCACGCTGACATGCACCCATTATTTATAGTTTGTTTCTAAGGTTTGCCATATTTGGGCTGATTCTTTTAAACAATATTACTAAAGCAACACTATATTTTTGCCTATATCTTTCCAGCTATGTTAGAATTTTACAAAAGATGTAAAACTGGTCTATTTTAAGTAATATCTTCTAGTATCCTATAGCCAACTGTATTTGTCCAGTAACATCTAAGTGGAGTATGAATGTATAACACTGTTATTTTGGAACAGTCATCTAAAAAATGGCAAGTCAAAGTGCACAAATATAGGGAGTAAAACAAGATTAACAGTCCACGGCCATGCTAGCAGCTCTGTGAAACTGTACTGTACAAGTACAACGATGCTAAACTATTTTTCTCAGGTGTTCACTCACAGATCTAGAATAATTTGTTTTCATATAACTTGGAGACAGAACAACATACTGTATAAGCTACATTTGGAAGAAATGCCCTACAGGATTCATCACTTTATGCTATAGCATGTTATGAATATCTAACATCAGAAAAAACATATATTGTGACTAGTGTGTGTTGTGTTGCATTGCATGCTTACCACTCAGGGGCAAATCAGATTCCCTCACAGATATTAGAGGATGAAGTGTGGCTCGCAACCAGCGTGTGTTGTAGGGTGTTGTAGGGAGAAAGGCTAACTTCATCATGATAATCATTTGTGATTCCCAGTAATTAGTGAGTCATCGTTTATGTAAGCGGGGAGCTCACGCACAAGTGAGAACAGATCCGGGAAGCTAGATGTATTCTTAACAAAAAAGTTTGCTCAGTGTCACTTCTGATGTTATCCAGTAGCATGAGAGGGTCAGACGCTGTCAACAGAAGGAAGACATGACAGACTTTAGTGGGAGGTAGCTGATGATAGTCTATATTTTTTACACGCTACCCTTTTGTTATAATCTGTGACACATCGTCTGTGTCGGCAGCAGGACAGAAATAGAAATCTCCCATTTCCTCTGGTTCCTAGTGCAATAGGAACCATTTTCATTTAAGGTTTGGTCTTATAGCTGCCCAATAAGTCTTCCTCTAAAGTGAAAAATACCTTTTACCTTATAGCTTGCCAGCCTACACTACATAAGTATTTATTTATTTATAAAATAGGCCAGTGAAAGATATTCATTTGAAAAACATGTAATAACACTTACTATACAGCACCATTGGAAATTACGAATAGTGGCATTCATAGACTTTCCAATGTGTTTGGGGAAAGGTCACAATCTACTGTTACAATAATTTAACACTAAATAGAATAAAACTGAATTATGTCTGACCCATGAGTCTCATTAAGTGGGTGTCCTCCATTCATTACTCTTTTCAGAAGATGTGGGTGTTTGTTTGGACCAGCCACACGGAAGGTATCCTAGATGATGACTTGCAGAGATAACAGGTTGGATGTAGTGTAATTGAGGTGTGATAACAACATGGAGAAGATTGGGACTATCGTGAAACTAGACACTCCTGCCACCTACTGTTAGTTTAATCACCGTACCATTGATGAAAATAAGACAAGTAAAACGACAAATTATTATCAAATTATACCTGTGCGGAAATATTGAGGTGAATGTTGGCTAAACACACTTCTGACTGTCTATATCTGTCAATGCTAAATAATATTGCTATTACAATTTTTATGCTACATTGAAAGGTTTCATGAACCAAATAGCCACTGGTTAGTAGTTTTCAAATTGGTAATGATGAACAAGCACAGAAGTATACAAAGGGAAAATATAATATAATATATGGTACGTATAGGGTTATCCACATAACTATCACTGAGTGGCAAAAATAAGTGAAATTGATATTATTTTGGAAATTCTCATACCTCACCATGTTTTTCTTCACATTGTCAGTGGAAAAATCACATTTGTCTGAAAGGAATAATTTCAGACAATGAGACATACCTTAATCCAAATGAGTTTCCTGTAAGGCATTACAGAAAAAATTAGGAGTGAAGCGCGGAAATTACGGAGAAAAGATGCATTGGCACAGCTCTTCCTGCTGCACTGAGTAGCTCTGACGGAATGCTTTAAAGAGGACTGGATCACTCACAGTAATCCCAAAATTAATACCCATGATAAGACACAGCAAATGAGAGAATTGTTAGTCCCCAACTGTAGACATTTTGTGTGTACATTTAGGCCTAAGTAATTGCCATTTCATGTAATAGGACATAATGTCGAGTTAATGTGAAGCTCTCACACTCAGAGCCCGGGTCTTTAGCACATTAAACACATTTGCAGCATTCACTCTCACATTCTGGCTCATTATGTGGCAACATGTAAAAATATTCTCCACACAGAAAATCTTATTTGCATTTCATTTTGATGGCTTTGACAGATAACAGCAGCAACAGCAACAGAAAGCAGAACAATCAGTCTACAAAAGCTGTACAAAGTTATGCTAAAGACATTAAATAATATCTTCACCCAGACATTATTTGTACAACCTCAGACACACAATGAGAATGTACAGTGAGATTGAATAAAAACAAAAAACAGGAACAGCAACTGGCAACTGTGGCATCTGAGATCCACCCTCTCACAAGGATGCCTGTGATTCTGACCTCACATTGTTCTTCTTGACTGACCTCAATTACCATTGGCAGGCCAGGGTAGTTGTGACCATTTAGGCAGATTATATGAAAAGGATCACACATCCCTAAATGCCACAGACTAGCTGGCATTTGAAAAAAGTTTTATCTCCAGTCCGCCAAAAGTCGCAGGCTGCCACTGGCCTCGGTGCCATCGCTAAATTGACTGTCAGTGCTGAGTTAATCTGCCATATCACAGCAAGCTTTTGCTGACTATGAAATAATGACATTCTGATGCATATCTCAGGTTATTTCCCCTCACGGAGGAACTTAAAGGCTACATCTGAATAAAACCAATGTTGTCTAAATGCTGTCCATGCATGGATAGGCACATGATGCTGCGCTGTCAAATAGCGCTGTGAAATCTCCCTTTAAAACACTACAGAGGAAGAAGAGGTGAAGACACCAAAAGCTCACAACAATCTAATGGAGTGTAAAGCCATCACAAACCAGCTGTATTGTTGATTTACACTTATTCGGGGTATATGGAAGTATGCAGGCTTGCCAGAGTTGAGTCTTTCCTCTTGAGGAAAATGCAAGAAAAAACAAACACGAGTGTTGAATCCAAAGAACAATTTGAGGTTAGAAACTGCCCAAGGGATGCATAGACATTAATGAATAACAGAACTCTGCAGCATGTGAGAACTTGACAGCTGCCGTTTTTCCTGTACAATTGGATATTCAAACATGCAGCAAAGATTGCACACATATATATAACTTTTGTTGTCTTTTTTACAAAATTAGACAAGACATATTTTTAAACTGATAACACAAAACTGTAAAGGACTCAAGGTAAATTCAGTTTGGATGGTTTGACAGATTGGATTAACCGTATTTTACAAATCCATCTCAGAGGGCAAAAATGAATATAATATCCTTATTTCACTTCAGCATACTCTTTTAACACCGTAACTGTTTATGAATAATTGCAACAATTACTAACATATTTTTTTTTTCTGTTTTTCTTCAGTGGAGAAACATATAAAACTATAAAACTGCTGAAAAAGACATTTTGTAATATCCAATCTTGTACAATTTATTTAATTGGAAATTTACAAAACACCATGTTAGTATGACTTAAGTCCTGTCATTATTTATGTATGTCTCTGTGAACACGAGTCCACAGGAAAACCAAACAGTGTTGCTGAAACACATTGCATCAAGGTCAAACAAAACACAACTCAGAAAGACACACAGTCTCAGAACATATTGTGTATATACTGTGGGCGGGAGGGCACAATTAACTATGAGTCATATAAATGTTAAAATGAAAACTGATTTATTAATGATGGCTCAAAAACATGTAACATATGTGTTACTAATAATCCCTACAGGCTGAGTCAACAACCAAAAATACCTGGTGGGTCTGAGGTGTGTAGTCACGAATTACGTTATCACTTACTCAGTCAGACTCACTTCCTCTAGGAAATTAGATGTGACCCACGATAACAAAAGCAGTTCATAATTAGTGGTGATGAAAGCTTCTCAGTTGTCAACCAAGATGTTTCTTTTTTGTCAGTTTGATTATTAAATGTTGATTAAGAGAGCGTCCAGGTGTTAATTAAGGTTGTAGTGGAAAGTAAACTCACCTACATCCACTTTATGCTTTGTTTTATTTGCAGAATAGGCTTTACCAACCTTTAAAGGCAGCCATTAATGTGTCATAAATGATTAATTCAGAGTGATTGTTTTTATTGGTGGTTGTTTGGTTTATGACAGAATTGTAATATCTAAGTCAGTGATTGTAAGCTTTATCTCACATGACTCACAATTACAAATGGAGAGACTACTTTATTTGTATTCTTAATGTCTTTGCCAAAGCTTGACAATTTTTAAAGCTGCAGTCATCAATATGTTTATCAAAATAATGGTTAAAATAACTATCTTTAATCTGAAATGGTCGCAATGACAAATCCCTACAGTGCGTTTCAGAGTTTATGAGTGTTTTGGTCTCAATGCCCTCATCAACCTATTTCCATCAGCAGCAGGCAAATGTTTACAACGGAAAAGTTCAGATAAACTTAAGCAATGCTACTTGCCCAGCATTAAATGACATACACACTTAGTAACTAGCTAGTAAAGTGAATATTCAACATACATGGTACTAGAAAACCCAAATCCATATAATGCAATTATTTCTCTTTGTTTACGATTCTA